TGTTTTTAACATCCTTATGGGAGACTTCTCTCATGTCCCCACATGGGGAGCTGGAGCTGACAGAAGGAACTTATTTGCGCTCTCCTTAAATTCAAACTGGCAACCTTTGGGTCAGCAACCCAACCTTCAAGTCAACAGTCCTGCTGGCACAAGGGTTTAACCCATTGCGTCACCAGGGGCTCCTGGCTTCAATAATAGAACAGGATGATGATGATGATGATGATGATGATGATGATGATGATGATGATAAACAACTTTATTTATACCCTGCCACCATCTCCCCAGGGGGACTCGGGGCGGCTTACATGAGGCCAAGCCCAACAATACAACAATGCAGATAAACAGCATACAACGCGAGTAAAATATGAAAATGAAAATAAAATACAAGAAACAATATAAATAAATATCAACAATATAAAATCACAATAATTTAAACACAAGAAAATAAATCACAGTAGACACAATATACAGGTTGAAATCCCTTCTCCAAAATGCTTGGGACCAAAAGTGTTTGGGATTTTCACAGATTTGAGAATACCTATATAATGAAGTATCTTGGTGATGGGGTTAAATTCTAAACACAAAATTGATGTATATTTCCCATGCACCTTATATGTATTACCTGAAGATAATTTTTTAGAATATTTTAAATTAAATAATTTTGTGCATGAAACAAAGTTTGTGTTTACTGAACCATCAGAAAACAAATATATCACTAAGCTACCTATGTGATCAATTTTGGATTTTGGAATATTTTGGACTGTGGAATTCCAGATAAGGAATGCTCAAAATATAATGCAATAAAAATATCTGGGATCACAGAAGAATATCTGGTGATTTTTCTTTGTCTAATAAATGCAGATGCCTAGCATTCAGGATATTTTCAGGGCCTAAATAGATTTTTATGCGAAGCTTTACTCATTAAAAAATAAATTCCTATTCACTCTTCCCTTTCCATCATGCTGTCAGCTCACTCTGGTGGCTTGCTTTCTATGATTAAACCAGCATTTGGTATTATTCTTGGATATCAATCTGATATGGAGGACAGTCACAAAACGTCTTGTGTTCAATGAGAACGATTGTCTTTATACGTTGAGACAGCTTGTTGAAAACCGGTCATCCAGCATGATAGTTCTTGCCTTCAGTGTGAGAATGAGGCAAAGAAGGTGGAATGGCACTGGTGCTGTTTGTTGTTATTTCTGCAATTTGCATTGAAAATCTCTCTCCGCCCAAAACAAAAGGCACCTAAACAGCCAAAGCAGGACTGCCTACAAACAATCCACCTGAAATTTCTAATTTTTACAAGTCAATGCCACAAAGTAGCAACTCTCGTAGTTTTTTTTTCCAGAAGTCACTCTTGCAAATGAAAAATGATCTATCAAGAGTGACAGAAAATACCCTGTATTTGCACAAAGGAGAAGATCTCAGTGTTTCTCATTCTATTTTATGAGAATGAGACAAACAAGGACTCCTGCCTAATAGGAACAAATTTCTTTAGTTCTAAAACTCTCTGCATTAAAATAACCAAGTGTGTGATCAGGTAGTTAGGTTTTGTTGCAAGAATGAATTGTACTATTCAGATAATATTGGCCATGATTAACTAATCATTCCCCAAATTAATTTTATCCATTCCACTGTCTTTGTTATGTCAAGACCCTAATATGTCACACATGTTATTTTGTCGACATTATTATTATGGTGCAAATGTAACTAGTGAACTGCACCTGTGATAAACTATGAAATCATGTAGGAGCTCAAATGTTGTTATATGTACCAACATAAGGGGTTATTCAGGTTCATAAGCACCTGTTTCTCAGAGCAAAATGTGCTACAGTACAACCCCCTTATCCACGCAATTCAATATCCATGATTTCACTTACTCACAACCAAACAATATTCTCTCAACACACGTACTTATGGCCTTCTCTAGGCAAAGTAAAGGTTTCCCCTGACATTAAGTCTAGTCGTGTCTGACTCTGGGGGGTGGTGCTCATCTCCATTTCTAAGCCAGCGTTTTCCATAGACACCTCCAAGCAATTACGGTCATGTGGCTGGAGCGCTGTTACCATCCTGCCAAAGCAGTACCTATTGATTTACTCACATTTTGCATGTTTTCAAACTGCTAGGTTGACAGAAGCTGGGCCTAACAGCAGGAGCTCACCCCACTCCCTGGATTCGAACCGCCAACCTTTCCATCAGCAAGTTCAGCAGCTGAATGATTTAACCCGCTGCACCACCGGAGGGCCTTCTCTAGGTACTCAAATGCGATTCAATTGTGGACTTCCAGCCCAAGTACATTCAAAATATAAGATTTGTTATTATCCACAGTTTCAGGTATCCATGGGGAGTCTTGGAACATATTTCCCAAGGATACAAGGGTCGTACTGTATTTCTAAGTGCTCACATTTTGTTTTAAGAGATAATGGAACAACTTATTGTCTAGTAAAAAGCAGTTGCAATCTATATTATAACCACCAAAGCAATGGATCTACTCTCTAGGAAATGTTCCATATTTCCCTTGATTGATACATACACAGTTAGTCCTCCATATCCATACATTTTGTATCCATGGCTTCAATCATCAATGGCTCAAAAATATTAGGAAACAAAAATCCCAAAAGCAAAACATGATTTTTCTGTTTTATATAAGGGACACTATTTTACTATGCTGTTGTAAATCATGGGCATTGAGCATCCACAGATGTCCACAGGAGGTCCAAGAGTCCACTGCATTGAACATTCTCATTGGCTTGGACAATGTGATCTCTATTGCTTTACTTGAACAAAAACGGTCTAGAACATGCACTCTAATGAGACCCAAACACACACTGACCCCCACTAACATTAATGCAGGGAAGACCTCATCAATATGGAAATGTTGGACTGAGCCTTAATAAAGCCATTGTCTGTCGTAACTTGTTATTATCCTTCCTGTTAATTCTCTTCAGCTGTTGGGTGACTGGAGCAATCCAGACTGAGTTTCCTTAATCAGCAGCATAAAACTGTTTGTGCTGAATCAGGACCTGGTGGATTGTACAGCTAGCGAGTGGGGTAATCCCCAATAAGACAGGCCTCCTTCAAGAAGGGCACCACTGGGATTAAGATTTGCTGAGAAGCAGTATCCAAAGAGTGACCTCCTTCTCAAAGTACGTATCTGCTTGAGTTTTTCAGGTCAACAGTAAAGCTACAACTTAATCGCAGGCATCTAAGGATACATTAATTTACACAAATAAATCAATAGCCACATCGGAATTCTAACTGAATGCAAGGAGTCTGCTGTAATCGAGCAGTAGTCCTCCAGTAACCTCTGCTCTCTGTTGAATGTGGGTTCTCCTTGAGGTGCCTTTAAGTATTAAAACAAGCAGCAAAAAGGGTGTTGTGTATACACGCTTATTTGTGCATGCACCTTTTATTTCCTGAACCTTATTGCTCTACAAGCAATGGACCTCACATAATTTTCTGCAGGGAAAAGTCCCCAATTCTCCTTTTACACTCATTAAAAGCACCAATAGGAAAGCCAGTGTGGTATAATGGTTTGAACATTAGATCAGGACTTTGGGAGAGCAAGATTCGAAGCCTGGTCTCCCAAAATCCTAGTCTAATATTCAAAGGAATAGATATCTCACAGACATCTAGCTGGACAACAGACAACCCCCATGGACAACCTTTGGCAAGTCACTCTCTCTCAACCTTAAAGGCAATGACAACACACTTCTGAATAAATCTTACCAAGAAAGCCCTATGCTAGAGCTGGCATAAGTCTGCATCAACTTGAAGGCATATAACAACAACAAACACAACAATAGAAAAGTGTGGGCCATCAACTTTATGTTGCTTGTTATCATGTGCAACAAAGGGAATACATATCTCCCAGACATATAGCTAGACAACAGACAATGATCAACTTGTCACCAAGAAAATTAACACAAAACAGGACACAGACTAGCATAAAATGTGTTATGCTTATTTATGCACACTTATAGCCTTATCACATGGGTCAAAAAAAGTGTCATAGGATGCTTCTTCCCCAGTTGTTCTGTAAGGAACAATGGGGTTTCTGTGGGCATCAGCTACATGGCAATGTTTTCCCACATGTGATGGGGAGTTGTCAGGTGCTGGCTGTGGCACAGAGATTGCCCTGATAACGCCCAGATTTGCCACAGAGGTTGGCGAACCACTAGGTTGGACCTCATCCATGTGATGAGGTCTACAGAAATAATTATTATAATTTACATGGAGTAAAAGAACAGCTGAGACCAGTGGTTCCATGGACCACCAGTAGTCCGCAAGAACTGAAATGTGGTCCACGGCCTCACCATTACTACACCGTTGCAACAAAAGCAACTGGTCTCATAAAATCCTTTTACAGTGCCAAGGCTTATTAAATATGGTTTTCAGTGGGTGAGCAGATGGTGCCTACTGGATGGTATATGTTCTGTATCAGAAACTAGAGCTGATGTGGTCTATCCAGTGCAATTTTCTGAATCAGCACCCCAAATAACCAAACTGAATCTAAAGTTGACCAAAAACTGCTTTGTATCCCTTTTGGAACTAATGTTGGAGAGTAGTCCCTGGTCAAACTGGTCCCTGGTCAAGTGGTTCCTGGTCAAAAAAAAGCTTGGGAACCACTGGCTTAGACTCTGGAAGACAGTAATCTGCTTAGTCTGTATAGATACTTTAACATATCTCTCCCTTCTTCGAAAATTCAGCCTTAAAGTAGACTTGGATTGACCAACTCTTCAAACAGAGGTTGCCATCAAGTAAATGACTGTCCTCTGACAGCCCTTCAAACAAATGTCTGTCTTCTATAAATAGGACACATGGTCACTCTAATTAGCAAAGATCCCCATCGAGTATTTGTTCCTATTGTAAAATGAAGGGTTCCAGATTGCAAAATGTTGAGATTGCTGAAACACAGATTTGTTGATCAGATTCTATCCATTTAATGCTGAGTAACTATGGCCACCTTTTTGCCATCCATTTTAGCGACCACTTCTTAC